ATGAGTTCCTCCGTGCGTGGGCCCCTCTTCCTTGGGATTTCAAAGACTCACTTCAGTCAAGTTCTGTTGGAGTCAAAAGGTGACATCCTTCCGTGGACCATTGGCCAAGGCTCAGAGTCCAGCCCTGGCACCTCCAGGGCTTAGCTGTTGTCTTTGATCTTGTTGTCAAGGCAACCCTGGCTGGCTCTGTGGCTCTGCAGTTACTCTCCCTCTTGCTTTCTTGTCATCCCCACTTTTCAAGACAACACACGAGAGATGGTAGATCCAAGTGGCCTGCTTGTCAATGTTCGAAGACAATGCTGACCTGAATTAAAAGATTTCCAGGATCTTCAGGGCCTCAAACAGAAACAAATCATATTCTCTAAACATTTTGAGAGCAGAAGCTTCCTGTCTCATTCACAGCTGCGCCCTACACAGCCTTCCAAGGTGCCTGGAGGAAAGCACGTGCTCAGTAAATGTTGAATGGATAAAAAGGGGCTCTCTAAAGGAATCAGCCAGAAAACAGGGGTAGAGGGATGAGCTCAGATTTGTAGTAGCCCTCAGAAAAAAGTACATGTGTGTGTATCATATGTGTGTCATGTGCCCCAAAGTAAAAACTCAACTATCCTTGTGATGTGCTATCTATCTCCACTTTTTTCTACATCTGTGACCTGGAGCTGTCACTGTATACCGTTCCTGCACAGCCCCCCTGGGAGTTTTGGTCTGAAGAATTTTTTCTTTCTCTTCCCATCTCATTCTCTTTCCTCCTCCCCCTTCCTCCCCCCACTCCTCCTCCTCCTCCTCTTCTTCTTCTTCTCAATCTTCTCTCTCTCTTCCTCCCTCCCTCCCCTCTCTCCTCTAACCCTATATCTATCATACACATAATACAAAATTCACCATTTTAATCATTTTAAGATGTACAGTTCAGTCATGTTATGTACTAGTATATTCACACTGCCATGCAACCAATCTCCAGAACTCTTTTCATCTTGCAAAACTGACTCTGGCTTGTGTTGTCTCATTTTCATGGACTATCTGGGATTTTAGCTACAAATATATAGACAATGGGTTTCAAACTATTTAGTGAGCCTCAGTGTGGTCAGGACAGTATTGGTGCTCAGTACATGTCCACTGGTTAATTGATTTGGCTCTGTTTAATTTTTTCCTGCATGCTACAATTTCTTGGTTTAAGGGCAAGTTTAGTTTTATGATGCACCTGACAACTATAAGTACTTCTCGACTGCCCTCTCATGGAAAGATGAAGAAGTGAAATTCAGAGCAATGCTTTTATGCTGGAATAAAATGGCCCCTTTTTTCCTAACTCCTGGACTTCACACCATCCAAAATTGTGATTGATCCAAAGTTGTCAGTTTATCCTCACCTTATAGATGAAATTGACTTATAGAACAGTGGTGAATGACTAATTTAAAAAAAAATTTAAAATATATTTTATTAATTTTTTACAGAGAGGAAGAGAGAGGGATAGAGAGTTAGAAACATCGATGAGAGAGAATCATCAATCAGCTGCCTATTGCACATCCCCTCCTGGGGATATGCCCACAACCAAGGTATTTGCCCTTGACCGGAATCGAACCCGGGACCTTTCAGTCTGCAGGCCGACGCTCTATCCACTGAGTCAAATTGGTTTCGGCAACTTAAAACATTTTTTAAATCTGTTGCAAACCAATCCATTTGTAAAATATGATAAAAACAAATCCATAGATATATTTAAAAACAAAGACATACAAAACAGAAATCTAATTTTTATTATCAGATTCAACAGACAACATTACATTCCAACAAAAATAATCAGAACAAACACAACAGGGAAAAAATAACATAATTGCAAAATCTGTGTTGTTCATTCAATGTGCATACTATAGGTGATTAATACAGAGAATTGCTTCTATGCTAATAACGTTTGTTATTCTGCAATCGTAACTAGACAACAAATTCTAAGTGAAAGGTAGTGTTTCCTCACTTTGAATGAACACCATATTTATTAACATGAAGGTTTTTTAATAGACAAATGTACATGTATGGCTTGTTAGCCTAATCCAGGCAGAATGGAACAGAATACTACTCAGAAGGTAGGTACAATGTAATTTCATCATCACTGCCTGTAGAAACTGTTTCTATGTCTTGTTTTAATAAGAACTGTGGAGGAGAAGCCATCTCACAGAGGTTTGTTGATGGAATAGAAGAAGAAATTTTATTTTATTTATTGTTTTAATAGAAATTATTTTTTCTTTTAAAATATATTTTTATTGATTTCAGAGACGAAGGGAGAGGGACACTTCAGTGATGAGAGAGAATAATTGATTAGCTGCCTCCTGCATGCCCCCTGCTGGGGATTGAGCCTGAAACCAGCATGTGCCCTTTATCGAATCCTTCAGTCCACAGGCGACGCTCAATCCACTGAGCCAAAATGGCTAGGGCTGAAGAAGAAATTTTAAAGCATTTTAAAGGAAGCTCAGGATTTTCATGCTTTACTTGAATCCAAAGTGAAGCAAATGATTCTAATTTTCAAAATTCATCTTCAGTTCTCTATCAATATTGTCTTTTCTACCAAGTTATCCTATTAGGGTATATAAATCAAATCATCTTTCAATTAAAGTAATGGTTTCTGGATCTGTGAATTTCCCATGCATAGATCCTTTTTTGATGGAAATAAAATGTAAACAGTTCGATCAAATCTGTAAGGCATTTGGCCATAATGTTTCACAGATGTGCAATATCAAGATGATGAAGTACTTTATAGAAAATTGTTGTTAAATTATGAAACATTATCACAATCTATGAAAACTCTGTTCTTCTAAGCTTCTAACTCCATTTTGCTCTTCAATCTTATCTGCATTGAAAATCATGTTGTATTCTTTCCTTGCTTAAAAGTAGAAAGAACATAAAAAAATGCCCAAAAAATGCCTGGCCAGTGTGGCTTAGTGGTTGAGCATTGACCCATGAACCAAGAGGTCACTGGTTTGATTCCTGGTTAGGGCACATGCCAGGATCCCCAGTAGGGAGTGCGCTGGATTCACATCTATCTATCTATCTATCTATCTATCTATCTATCCCTCTCCCTTCCTCTTTCTCTACAAAAATCTATAAAAACATATTTAACAAAACAAAACAAAACAAAACAAAACAAAACACCCAGCAAACAAAATCCTGGATCTGATGGCTTCACAGGGAGGTTAAAAAAATTTTTTTTTAAATGCCAAAAATATTACACAAATAAATAAGTCCTTTGTCCAAACCACATGATTAAAAGATTGGGATCTTGAAAAGGTGGGTGTTTTTTGTTAGTTTTTTTTTTACTTTCTAGGTACGCTAAAAATTCCTTTCAAATGTAAACATTCCTAATAGAACTGTGTCCTTAAGTAAGCATCTTATCTCAGCGTGCAACAACAGTTACCATCAGCTTTCATTACCTCTTGCATAATTCACCATTTTTTACTATGTAACTAGACACTGTTTAGTTCAGGTAAATCTTTTTCGTGCAGAATTTTCTTAAAAAGGAAGCAGTGTGTTGATTTACATTCTCATGCGACACCTTTAGTTGGGGAATAACTTCTGTCAGTGCAGCTGCACCATTAGAGCACCTTGGACACCAAACTTAAACTCAAACCATATTCCTTGGCAGTGTGATCCCTCATAGTTTTAAACAATTCAGAGCTAGTTGTGTTTTCATCAGTGAAACTGAAAAGTTTCTTATCTCCAGCATGTTCAAATTGCATATTGTACTAAAGTAATTGTCATGTGAGCAGAATGTGTGTGTTCAACAACCCCAGAGGCTGAGATAAAATCGCAGCCTGGCCTACACTTACCTCTCATTAACTACAGCTCTACATTTATTGATGTTCTTTCTTTTGATGTAAAATCCACATATAATGACATGTAAAAATCTTAAGCGAATAGTCACAGATTTTTGATAAATGCATAAACCTTCGAACTCAAATCACTATAAAGAACATTACCATCAGGTCCCAGAAAATTCCTTTGTATTCCTTCCCAGTTGCCTCCTAACCTCTCGAAGCAATCACTTTTCTGATTTTTTTTCAATCATAAATTTGTCTCACTTGTCTTAGAACTTTATATACATAGAAATATGTATTCATTTGAAATATATATATGAGTAAATCTCTAAGTTTCATCAGTATATATTTGAGCTTCACTCAGTATAATTTTGAGATTCATCTATGTCATTGCATCTATCAGTAGTTCATTTTCTGAGTCATCAGTTGGTAGATATTTGGGTTGTTTCTAGTTTGGGATCATTGTAAATAAAGCTGCCATGAACATCCTTACAAAAATCATTGAGGACATATACAGTATGTTCATCTTGGGCTTAGATCATAAGATAGATGTATATTTAATTTTACAATAAAGTGGTTGTATCACATTACATTTCTATCATAAATGTGAAAGAGAGAGAGAGAGAGAAAAAGGATTCCATAATCCTTTGAATTCCAGACCCCAAAGGCATTCTGAGCGTCCAGGGACACAGCCCGCTCCGGGTCCGCGTTTTTAAACAGCCCGAGACCACGTGACCGCCGGCCCGCACAGCTATTGGCCCTCCGCCTCCCATACTTGGCTTTGGCGCCGAAGGTTCCCCGTCGTGGACGCAACCATTGGCTCCACGCTCGGAGGGAACACGAGCCAACCTCGCGTCCAAGACTTTCCTGATTGAAGCTTCCGACTAACTCTCAGAAACTTTCAGCTACAAATATAAATGTAATGATCCAACGAAACCCACCGAAGGACGCCGGAGAAGCCTCCTTTTCGAAGACAGATAAAGCAGACCCGACCCTGCCTCCCCCTACGCTTGGTTGGGAAAACGAGGGTGGTTCCGTCCGAGGCGCGGGCTCCGCCTCCCGGGGCGCCGCCATTTTGTTTGGCTGGCGGGACGGAGCGGCGCTTAGGGGGAGGGGTCCCTTAGGTGTCTCACCTGACCCCGCGGCCGCGCGGTTGTCGTTGCTTCCCGCGCAGCCCTTCTCCCCGGTTGGGGTCACGGCGGAACCATGTACATAAAGCAGGTACGGTCTGTGCGCCCCTCACAGCCGGCACGGCCGCGGGAGGACCGCTCCTGGAGGAGGCGGGGATGTCGCGGCACGACCTGCGGCCCCCCTGCTCGCGGCTCGGGGGGGACCTGGGCAGGACGGGGACGGGGGAGGGGGAGAGGAGGAGGGACGGAGCGCGGGGCCGCTGAGCATTGGGGCGCCCCTCTGCAGCGCGGGCCCCCGTGCAGGGCCTTGTGTGGAGGAGAAAGGACCTGGGGGAGGTGTGGAGGCCGCGGGGCGGGCCTTGTGGGGGGGATCGGGCCTCCCGGGGGCGGATAACGGGGGCGGAGAGGCCGGAGAGGCCGGGAGCGGGGGATGCTGCGGGGGGAGCCCCGCGCGGGTCCTGCGCTGGGCTGGGTCGGAGATGAGTCACCCCGGCCGGGGGGTGCCCCTGGGAGGTGCGGGGGGGGGGCACTGGCTGGGTGGGTGTCAGCTTCCCGGGCGGCCTTTCTCCTCCCCGTCTGCCCGGAGGAGCAGAAGGGACTGGATTCGGGCAGAACGTGCAGCGCCTCCTGCTTGTTTACGTCTGTCACCTCGGTCTCCCGCGCCGAGTCCCGCACGAAGGAGAGCCCGTCCGCGGCCCTTTGGGGAAGTTTCCCTGTCGGAAATGTTAGGCTCTCAGCACTCCTTTCTTTCTTTTTTTTTTTTTTTAAATATATTTTATTGATTTTTTAAGAGAGGAAGGGAGAGGGATAGAGAGCTAGAAATATCGATGAGAGAGAATCATCGATCAGCTGCCTCCTGCACACCCTCCTCCGGGGATGTGCCTGCAACCCATGTACATGCCCTTGACCGAAATCGAACCCAGGACCCTTCTGTCCGCAGGCCGACGCTCTATCCACTGAGCCAAACCGGCCTCGGCTCTTTTTTCTTTTCTTTCTTTTTAAAAAAAAATACATTTTATTGATTTTTTACAGAGAGGAAGGGAGAGGGATAGAGAGTTAGAAACATCGATGAGAAACATGGATCAGCTGCCTCCTGCACACCCCCTCCGGGGATGTGCCTGCAACCAAGGTACATGCCCTTGACGGGAATCGAACCCGGGACCCTTCAGTCCGCATGCCGATGCTCTATCCACTGAGTCACACCGGTTTCGGCTAGCACTCCTTTCTTGCAACGTCTCCTTTTTTTGGGGGGCTGTCCTGTGTTTCCCTCGGATGAAAAAAGCTGGGGCCAGCCTGCCTAACTTGACGCATTTCCTCGAGCCCTTCAGGTTGGGGGTCCAGCGACCCCTTCCCCAGGGTGCTTGGTTTTGAGACGCCCCGAACACATGAAAACTTAAACACCCTGGCGATGGTCACTGACACACGGACTGTGTGTCCTCCGACGACGATTTTTATAATCGCCACTTTCCACAATGCAATATTCTTAGGAGAAGTCGACAGTTTCCCATCTTCAAGGAGAAACCAGAAAGGGCAAAGAAGTGCAAAAGAAAACGTTTTTTAGAAACGTGTCTGTTCTAAAAAAAAAAAAAAAATCGCTTTCATTTATTTGTTAGGTGATCATCCAGGGTTTTCGAAGTTACAGAGATCAGACCATTGTAGATCCCTTCAGTTCAAAACACAATGTGATTGGTAAGTGTTCGTCCTGAGATCGGATTTATACCTTTGCAGCCGTTTACATTCTGCCTGTGTCTGGGCTGACGGAGACAAAGTTACCTTTGAGCATACATAACTGTGTCTTTCTTTGTATGACATAACTTATTTGTCTTCTGTCTGCACTGATGAATTGCTTATTTTACACACAAAGTATTTGAATGAGACAGTCACACATTATTTGGGTATACTGTGTGTGTGCGTGAGCACAGCTTTAAGTTTATAGTGAATGTCACTAAACGTAGTGCCATTTTGTAGTTAAAATGCTCACTATTGCCTGTTTCAGAGGTGACCATTCTTTATTCACAAATGACATTGTTCTCAGATTTCTTGTCTCCCTGTCATAATGTCTAAGGATAGACCACATAGCTTGGTGGGAAGATCAGAAACTATGAAACAAAATTGGATTGGATTCAAATCCTGGTTCTGGCATGTGTTCTTTTTCAATCTTAACTCCCCGAGGGTCTTCGGTTTTCTCATTTGTAAAGTAGAGGTAATGATACCCATCTCCGGGGGCTGTTGGGAAGATTATATGAAAAAGCAGCTATGTGAGGGTCAGGGTGATTGCCCTGCAATAGTCAGTCTGCAGGTTCTTTTGGTGATGATTCTCCGTTTTGCTCAGAGAGCCAGCACAAGTGTTTTTTGATGTTCTGAATTTTTAGATGTAAGATATATATCATGGAGCTTTACCTCAGACTTCAATGTGAACTTTCTAAGAAAAGGGATATTCTTTTGCATAATCATAGTATACTTACCGACTTCAGTGAACTTAATATTAATGCAGTCATTTGCTACTCATTTTCCAGTTCTGTTGATTGTCTCGGAAATGCTCTTGATAGACCCCTCCAGTAAAGGGTCTAATTTAGGATCAGGCATTGCATTTAGTTGTCATGTCTCTTTAGGTTCCTTTAAGGTGGGTCCTTTTCACAGTGTTTCTTTATCTTTTATAACATTGTTTTATTTAAAATATTGTGCCATCTATGTTTTACTGATGTTACTTATGATCACTCAGTCAAGGTCGTGCCTAATTTTTCTACTACCGGTATATAGTTATTTTCCCTTGCAACTAATAAATACTATGGGAATGGGGAGATACTTTTGAAACATGAAAAGATGGTGATCTTTATAAAAATTTTCCTCTACATTTTGTGTCCATTAATAATTCTCTATTCTGATGGTTTCAAATGATTCCCCCCCACCCCCCCATTTACAGCATTCCTTTCACATTTACCATGATCAATTAAGAGCCCTTCCTTCTTGGTTACTTATCTTTTTATTGTCAGTATGAACTCATGGATTATCTCCCTCTCCACCCTAGCACTAATTTATAATTCTTCTAATTATTATGGTACTCCTGTTTAGATTTAGCCTCTTCAAGCTGGCCTCTGTGTCTGTTATATGCCTCTTTTTAAAAACAATTCATTACTTTCTGGCATAACATAAGTGATCTCTTTAGGATTTACATTGCAGTAAAGGTGATAACTTTGAGGCTAAATTGTTCAGCATATTTTGGTTAAGTTTAAGAATCTTAATGAAAATGTTGCGAACAAAACACTCAAATGAATTCATTGAACTCGAAACATTTGATACCCTTATATGTATAGGATTGCTTATTTCTGAATTCAGATAGAAAAAAAACAATTCTTTACAGTTATCTATACTTTTGTGAATATGAAACTATATTATGTACATAGGGCTGATCATAAATTATTTAACATGTGAATAGTTTGAGAATTTAAAATGATTATCGAGTATTTTTAAAAATGTGAGTAATATGTGCATCTTTACATTATTAAGAAATACTTTGTATACAATTAAAATAGAATACATTGTAATGAATCTAAATTATGAAAACCAGGCAGTGTATTTAGTTATTTTTATTAATTTTAAACTATTGGGAAAGAGCAAAAATATCAATAATTAAATTATTTTTTTTAGAGAAAAAGATATCTGAGGTCTATATGAAAATTATACTCATTTGGTGATCAAAGCTGTTTTGTTTATTGATTTCTTTTGTTTGCTGTTCAGTTGTATTTAATATATATTAAGATGTTATGCTAGAAACTTGGATTTATAAATTTTCTAATATTTTTAGTAAAGTTTTAATTTTATAGTTTCTTACACAAAATAACATACTTTTTTTGAAATTTTATAGTGGGCAGAAATGGATCTGGAAAAAGTAACTTTTTTTATGGTAGGTATTGTTTTTTGAATTTTAAATATATTAAGACCTACGTATCTTAAGATAGTTCATTTTGAGATTATGTTTGCATGAAATCCAAGAAATACTTCTTCATACAGGGTTGTACTCTATACCTCGTGATTAATGAGCTCTGTGAGACTGGGCAAAAACACTTAGCCTTTCAAATTAATCTTTCCATTTTAGGAACAAAGATGGTCACCCTGCATGCCTTAGATGGGTTGTGTGAATTATAAATTTGCAACCAAGATACCTGCCCTTGACCAGAAATTGAACCTGAGATTTGACACTCTAACCACCGAGCAAAACCAGCTGGGGCTCTAAACCAATTATTATTATTATTATTTTAAATATATGTTATTGATTTTTTACAGAGAGGAAGGGAGATAGGGAACTAGAAACATCGATAAGAGAGAAACATCAACCAGCTGCCTCTTGCACACCCCCTATCGGGGATGTGCCCACAACCAATGTACATGCCCTTGACCGGAATTGAACCCGGGACCTTTCAGTCCGCAGACCGACGCTCTACCACTGAGCCAAACTGGTTTCGGCTAAACCAATTATTTTTATAATGGATGGAGGGGTGTAAAAAACTTTGTAAACTCAACAGATTATTGTCTGTTTGCAGATAGTATTTGAGGAAAAGGGTGGGTTTAGAAAACCAAAAGTCCTCTGTCTGCTTGTACAGCTAAAAGGTACTACTATGTATCCTATCAGTGTAGTAATTTGGGGATGGTAAGAGAGTGGCTTGGAATAGAAATTAGTGTTTCATAATCTTCTCAGGAATGAGGGCAACTTAAATTCATTTTCCTTCCACCCCCCACTCCAAGGTGATTATAAAAGAAAGCCAGTCCTCACTTCATCCCCATTTATGCATACATACACACTGTCAAAGGTCTTTTGGGTGGACTAGGAACAGAACAACTGGGTAAAGAGTTCCATTTCTAGATCAGTCCATTTAAGTCCTCTATGTGGAAGTAGGAGTGACTCCTTATGGAAGCAGTTGAGTGGAAAGTGGGACTCTGAAATATTTCCATATATATTTAAAATTTTATTTTATTTATTTTTTTTATTGCTTTCAGAGAGAATAGAAGAGGAGAGAGAAATAGAAATGTCAGTGATGAGAGAACATTATTGATGGGCTGCCTCCTGCATGCCCCCTTCTGGGGATTGAACCCACAACCCAGGCATGTTCCCTGATTGGGAATTGAACTGTGACCTCCTGGTTCATAGGTTGACATTCAACCAATGAACACACCAGGTAGGCAACTTTTGGTGCATGGGGCCACAGCCAGCTAACTGAGCCACACCATCCACGGCATTTCCCTATGTTTTTACTTAGTTCTATTTCTTTTAACAAAGTATCCAATTAAGAATATTGTAGGAATGTATTCTAGTTTGTTAATAAATAACATATAACGTATCTAGTGGGTAAAAGCAAATATAGTGTTAACCTAACAAGTCAGAGAGTACTTTGATTAAAAAGTAGACCTTAGTTCTGCTTGCCTCTTCTTGTATCTTTGTATTTTCTTTTTATTTTATTATCTTAAATGTTTCAGTGAACACTTTAAAAAATATTTTATTGATTTCAGAGAAGAAGGGAGAAGGAGAGAGATAGGAACATCAGTGATAAGAGAGAATCATTGGTCAGCTGCTTCCTGCACGCCCCACATGGGGGTTTGAGCTCACAACCCATGCATGTGTCCTGACGGGGAATCGAACTAAGACCCCTCGTTCATAGGTTAATGCCAGCTGGGCTCAATGAAAGCTTTTTAATAATTTTCTTATATCATCATTTTCTAGTTGATACAGGCAAATTATCTGCTTTTTTGTTGTTGTTTATATGAAGCAGGTAATCCACTTTATCTGCATTGTTCATTACCTGATATATTATATTCTATGAAGATATGGGAAATTATTAGTAAGGCATAAATTCATTTTTAGACTGTACTAATTGTTATGTTTTTGTATTTCTAGCAATTCAGTTTGTTCTCAGTGATGAGTTTAGTCATCTTCGTCCGGAACAGCGATTGGCTTTATTGCATGTGAGTGAGGCTGCTTTAAGACATTATTGATACTATAGTTAATCCTTGAACAACTCCAGGGATAGTTGCATCCACTGCCTTCAGTAGGAAATCTGCATGTAATTACAGCCAGCTCTCCATATAGCAGATTTCCAATCACCAGTGGATCCTTGAACAACATGTGCCGATTCGTTTTAAAAACCTGCATATAAGTGGACCCTCACAGTTCAAGGGTCAGCTGTATATATTTTTATTTTTATTTATTTATTTATTTACTTTAATTCTCCCCTGAGGATATGTTTCTACTGATTTTAGAGAGAAAAACTAGATTGGCTGCCTCCCAAATGAATATGCCCTGTCCAGGGATCGAACCTGCAACCTTTTGGTGCATGGGATGATGCTCCAACTAACTGAGCCACACCAGCCAAGGCATCAATATATATTTTAAAATACATTATCAGTCCTGATAAATTATTTGTTCAAGTTTCAGATCCTTTTGAATATGATGTAGCCTCTTATTCTGCTGTAAAATTTAACCTATTATGTTAATATAGGATAAAGCTCTAATTTTAATCAAATGATAAGAAAATTGTAGGATTTGTTTATAGATGGATATGTCTTCCATATAAATATAAATTCTTTATTAAGGGTATTGTCTGGTAAAGCTTGAGAAGAAGGTTTGCTGAGGAGAAAGAAGAGTTTGATATTGGGGATTAGGAACTTCAAGACTCAGAACCAGAAATTAAATGGGACCACATAGAAGCAACCATTGCAAACTAAGCAGCATAAAGTTGTTACTATTTTTAGCCATATTTTTACTTAAATGTTAACATTTTCCAATATGAAAGAAGTATGTGTAAAGAAAATTATTATGATTTTTCATTAGATTTTTTTATGAATAACTAAAATAGTTTTAGGATAAAAATTACAAAAGACATAAAATAGTATAATTTATATTTCTGTTTGAATAAGGCTTATAATTAATTTAAAGTTCAGAAAGTAAGATTCCTCCATATTTCTCAATAATGTCTCTCACACCTAGGAAGTGTTTTTTGTTTTTTTTGTTTTTTGTTTTAAATAGTTCTCTACCCTATTCCCCAAATTTGAACGTTTGGCTCAGTAATCAGGACTAATTCTTTATAGAAAAATCTCTGTTTAAGTGTCTCAGATTGGCATTAAAAGAATAATCTTTTTAGATATTCTACATTGTGTTGAATCACTACATGATACCATGTCCAGAATCTGGAAATTACCTGGGCTTGATTATGTAAGTGGTTAGGTCATAAATTGGTTTAAGTGTGACACATGTTAAATGTGTTTTCTTAGCAGATTTAAAACAGACTATCTCAAATGTTGAAAAAACAGAGTTTCAATAGTTACATGATTTGTTAGGGTTCATTTTCAGCCTTAACATGAGTCTGTAAAAGAAAAGCCTCAAAGTGTTTTAGATATTATCATATAGTAGAAATTAGTGTCTATAGGGTCTTGTGCTTTAATGAGGACCTAACTTTAACATCTTTTGTATTCTCATTCAGAATCAAAAGCCTTTTTGTTAAATATTACTATCCTAATATCTAATATCCTAGTATCTGCTATTTTGGCAAGGGAGATATATCCTAGTCTGGTAGAAATTTTTCTTCATTGAACTACGCTTGTTATCATGCACTAAATTTGAAATGTATTTAAAGTATTTGAAAATACCACTTAAATTTAAAATTTATTTATCTCATGTTTTAGGAGGGTACAGGTCCTCGTGTTATTTCTGCTTTTGTGGAGATTATTTTTGACAATTCAGACAACCGGTTGCCAGTGAGTAACTGCTTTTTCTTTTTTGTTAATGTTGAGAATTTTAATGTTGCAGCTGTTTTTTTTTTTAATGTTTTAAAACATTTATTTATAGCTTTATGTAAGCTATTATAATTTCATTTATTCCAGAGTTACTATACAGTTTACATAATAACTTTACTTTAAAATTATAATGAGCATTCTTATAAATAATAAATAAATGGGAATGTTCAAGCTGTTGTTAAAAAAAAATGTCTTTATCATAAGAATTGAGTATTCATAGCATACCTGTAGAGAGATTGAAATGTTAAAATAATTGTTATGTTTAGGGACTCTACAGTGACCTTTAAAGTTTTTTACTTATACTATTAAATTAACTCTGGTCTTACTTTTTCTTCTTCTTAGATTGATAAAGAGGAAGTTTCACTTCGAAGAGTTATTGGTGCCAAAAAGGATCAATATTTCTTAGACAAGAAAATGGTCACGTAAGCACTTTTCTTCACATTTGTAATTTCTTTGCAACAGAGTGAAAGTATTTTTTACTTGCCTAATATAAGCATATTTACTTATGTTCAACAAATCAATATTTAGAGCATAAACATTAGAATCAGAAGATTCTCTTAAGCTAATATAACATGGTTTAATGACTGTTCTGAACTCCCTCATGCTCCTTAACCCAAAAGTTAGTGTACTCATTTTTTGGTTGGTTATCTGAAATTTTCGATCTTTATTAACAGGAAAAATGATGTGATGAATCTCCTTGAAAGTGCTGGTTTTTCTCGAAGTAATCCTTATTATATTGTTAAACAAGGAAAGGTAAAAAAATTGTATGTCCTTTTTTAATAGAATTTGGTTTCTGAGTATATTCGGCGAATGATTTGGTTTATTGTAGTGGTTAAGTTCAAGCGAAAATGTACCTTATGTCTTGTTTTCACTGGCTTACTTTGTATTGTAGTTAGTATTACCTTTTATGTGGCTATAAAATACAAAGATCCATTGCATAATGGGATGGGAAGTATTTTTGTAGAGTTTAAGTGGATCATCATTCCTTAGTGGCCTGTATCACTTTCTAAGGTACATTACACTGGAAGACATTTAGGTTTTTGGAAATCTTTTAAAATCATAAATTATGAATATTGTAGAAATTCTGTAAAAATCACATTTGAAAATATTCCTTTCTAAAAGTATATCACAAAATTAAAATGCTAAAAAGCTTATATTACTAGAATTCACCATAATGCTACATATTATTTTCCTTGTAGAGATTTGCTGATTGTTCTATGATTTTCTAATATATTTTAAACTATATCTAAGATAATTAATTTTTCTTAATTTTTCTATAATGTCTAAAGTTTTCTATAATGTTCGTTTGGACTAGGGGGGAGTTCTTAACAAATGTTCACTTCAAATATCATATTGAAGGCTTTTTTTAGATTTGTGTTGGAAAGTTAGCATTCAGAAGTGATTAGGAAGGATATGGTGTTTCACATTGGGAAATGTGATACCAGAAGAACAGGTTTTTTAAAAGATGGTTTATAAGATATTTTTTAAAAAGAAGGCTGGTTTGAAATAGCAATTATCTGAGTCTTCCCTTCACACATACAACAAGGGCCACTTTACATTATTTTAATTTCTGCTCCTGGTGATTTCATATGACTATCTACAGAAGTATTGCCTTCACCTCTACTCTATATGCTTTATTTCTATTCTGTTTTGTTTTTCTTCATAGCAGTTGTGTTATTCTGTGATGGTCTGCTTATTTCCTCTTTTTCCACTACAATAAGTTCCACGAGGGCAAGACCTTTTCTGTTTTGTTCACTGTTTTCTTTCCCAGTGCCCAGAAGAATGGCATATATGTTGTAATAATGCATTAAATACTTTTTAATTGAGTAAATTAAAAATGAACAAACTTAATTGGGGTAACCAAGGAGAAGGACTCGAAGGGTGATTTTTTGGTTGCATATATTTTTGTTGTATATACTTTTGACAGACCATTTTTTTCTTAGCTCAGAGCTGATTCTCTTTTATGTAAAAGTGTTAAAGTAACTGTCAACTTGAATTTTTAATGCAGTGATAGCATTTTTTACCTTTAGTGCTTAATTTTATTTTAAAGAACATGTGAAACTCATGCTTGTTATATAAAGTTTCATGGTAATTAGGTTTTATCACTCTTTGTCATGTATTTTCTTTGCCATATATTTGTGAGATATTAAAGATGTTTTTGCTTATTTTTTTTAATATACCCTACTGTGTGAGACAGTTATTTTAATCTATACTTTAAGAATACCATTTTTGTTATACTTTTAATAGTATCATTATTGCTTTTAAATGTATAGTGAGTTAAGGTTTCCCCCTTTAAAAATACTTTGTTCATTTAAAATGAATCTCACCTTTTATGCTTTGTCAAATTGACTAAGAAAAAGAGATCATGGGATATTTCTCTGTCATTTGTTTTTGTGTTGTTTTTTTTATTTTTTTTATTACAGAGAGCTCCTCTGACATTTGTAATTTGAGGTTTTTTTTTTTATCATAAATCAGACTTATGAATATATATCTTAGATTTTTGTTTGGTAAATTTCACTTAAGTAAAAGGAAATACAAGGACATAGGTATACTTAAGTACAGATTATATTAGTGAACTCGTACTCATCTTATGTGGATACTCATTCAAGGTAGAGTTCTTAAAGAGCAGTCTGTAGTGCTGTAATTATTATTTTTCCAAAAATTTTAGATCAACCAAATGGCAACAGCACCAGATTCTCAGCGACTAAAACTATTACGAGAAGTAGCTGGAACTAGAGTATATGATGAACGAAAAGAAGAAAGCATTTCTTTAATGAAAGAAACAGGTAAAAGAATTGTGATTGTACCTTTTTTCTATTTGTTGTGAATTACTTTTCATTATATTGTAGTGGAAAGGAGTTATGTCTATCTCAGGAGTATATTGTATGATACTTTTGCCTATATGTTGAATGGAGATAAAATTAGTTTTAAGCAATTTAAGGTTTGAGATTTCCAATAATTTATTTCTTTGAATAAAGAATTGTTACTTTTAGGTTAACTGTTTTGTGCCTCTAATGTCCTCATCATCTTGTGTGAGGTAACAAATTTGGATGTATTCCTCAAAATTTACATTTACATTTACTACTTGTTCAGGAACAAGTAAATGTAAAACTTGGAACTTAGACTCATCATTAGTGCATTTATTGTGGAAACCCACTCTGCTCTTCAAGTTCTTTGTCCTGTAATAGCTTAGAGTCAGACAGTCCTGGATTCAAAATCTAATAATTAATTGACATTGTAACTTTAGACTTGATCTCTCTGGTTCAAAGCTTCCCCATCTGTAAAATCCTTTTTCATGTTTTATGGTGGTGAGTAGAGGAGCAAAGTAGCACCATAATTGGAATATAATAGGCATTCAATATGTAGCAGCTATAGATAATGCTTTACTGTAAAATTGGGAATCAGTGATACCATTGATATTAATAGGGTTTTGTGTGTTTTTTTTTTTTTTTTTTTAATATATTTTATTGATTTTGTACAGAGGGGAAGGGAGAGGAATAGAGAGTTAGAAACATTGATGAGAGAGAGTCATCGATCAGTTGCCTCTTGCACACCCCCTCCTGGGGATATGCCTGCAACCAAGGTACATGCCCTTGACCGGAATCGAACCCGGGTCCCTTCAGACCCCAAGCCGACGCTCTATCCATTGAGCTAAACCGGTTTTGGCGGGTTTTGTGTTTTTTAATGTTAAGCTTTTAAAGGGAGCTTATACTGAGACCCTTATCACATATATATGAGAATCAGTGTCACTATGTGTAAGTTTGTTCTCTGTTGTTTTTTATAATAAAGCATAATTCCCATTTTATCTTAGATTTGGTTATCCCATAACATCAAAGAAATAATGCTATAGTTCTTGAGATTAAGTTTAACTCATGTTATATTTGAGAAGAGATATTATATAAAATGTATTGAACTCCTTCATCCCCCCCCCTTCTTTTTTTAAAGAGGGCAAACGGGAAAAAATCAATGAGTTGTTAAAATACATTGAAGAGAGATTACATACGTTAGAGGAAGAAAAGGAAGAACTAGCTCAGTATCAGAAGTGGGATAAAATGAGACGAGCCCTGGAATATACCATTTATAATCAGGAACTTAACGAGACTCGTGCTAAACTTGATGAGGTAAAATATTTACCTTTGCCAATTAAATTCAGATTAATTTTATTACTATGAATGAGTTAAACTTGTGCTATATTTATATATTTTTAGTGATTTTTAAATAGAAAATTAAATTTGAAAACTCCTTAATGAATTTATTAGTTAGCAAATTTGTTCTCTCAGTCTATTCTAAGAAAAATGTGCAGACCCTTGTTGGCCTTGCTGTATATCTAAAATATAATCAGGTGGAGTCTCAGACCAAGATGAGAGGAAGCCACCTTTAAAGTTTTATGAATTTTTTTCTTAGCTTATAAAATGTATTTTGTAATTACTATTGCTGACATTTTGTACAAAAATTTGTTTTAGGGAATTTTCTACTTAAAGAAAAGCTCTAAGTTTTCTGGTAAAAATTTTTAAAGTGAATGGTTATTTTAGCAGATATCTAAAAATTTTACTAGGTATTTTGAAAAATTAAACAATACAAGATGAGTTAGAAATAATAGCTTCATTTTGTTGTGTTTTTAGCTTTCTGCTAAGCGAGAAACTAGTGGAGAAAAATCCAGACAATTAAGAGATGCCCAGCAGGATGCAAGAGATAAAATGGAGGTAAGATTACAAATTACACCTGGCTATTTTTTTCACCACAGGAGGACCTTTGTACGAGAATTGGGAATGATTACTTTAAGTGGGTTGTCACTGGGATTGAGTATTGGAAACAGTACTGAATGTGTAATGTGTAATGTGTAAATGAAAGAAGAAGAAAAAACGGACAAAATGAATCTTATATAATAAAAGGCTACCAAATATGCAAATTAACCGAAAGGTATAGAAAGACTGGTCTCTATGACATACACTGACTGATCACCAGGGTGCTGACACTCAATGCAGGAGCTGCCCCCTGGTGGTCAGTGCACTCACCCGGGGAGCGTTTGCTCAACCAGAAGCCCTGAGCTGAGCTCACAGCTGGCCTGTCCCACCTCTTGGCAGTGCTAAGTATGTGACTGACAGCTTAGGCCTGCTCCCCTCGGGCCAAAGCCATCAGTTGGACATCCCTTGAGGGCTCCCAGACTGCAAGAGGGTGCAGGCAGGGCTGCAGGACCTCTCCCCACCTCTACCCCTCCCCACATAAATGTCATGTACGGAGCCTCTAGTGGTATTATAATTCTGCTGTTGTACTTTTAATTGCCCGACTCATTTCTAGTTGAAATTTTTGAATAGGACATTGAACGCCAAGTTAGAGAACTGAAAACAAAAATTTCAGCCATGAAAGAAGAAAAGGAGCAGCTCAGTGCTGAAAGACAAGAACAAATTAAGCAGAGAACTAAGTTGGAGCTTAAAGCAAAGGATTTACAAGATGAATTAGCAGGCAATAGTGAACAAAGGGTAAGTTAAAATGCTAAAAATGAAATAAATATTCAGATGAGGAGGACTAAGAATCCTTTCTATGATGGGTGCATGCTTGAATTTTTATAAAAGATTTGGCACATTAAAATAATTTGTATTTACATAGCAACTTAGTATTATCTCATTATTTCTTATATTTAAAAATTTTGTGTTGCAGGATCAGTTTTCTCATAAGTTTCTTTCATGAGAAAACATTTTATGTTAGACTTATAAATTAAACAAAAATTTTTAAGCAGATTGCATTTTTACTTATCTTGCTTTATTTACAGAAACGCTTATTAAAAGAGAGGCAGAAGCTGCTTGAAAAAATAGAAGAAAAACAGAAGGAATTGGCAGAAACAGAGCCTAAATTCAACAGTGTAAAAGAAAAAGAAGAGCGAGGAATTGCTAGGTTTGGGATTTTTTTCACCACCACTTTTAACTTTCTGTATAGGTTTTCTATAGAACTTAAATAGTGATGGGTTAAGAAGGCACAGTATTAAAGGCAAAAGTTAATTGCTCATTACAGAGTAATAGCTAATGTTACACAAATACTGTGGGCCAAGTGTTATTTTGCATATATTGTCTACATTCTTTTTACTCAAAGGCCTTAGGAGAATCACACTATCCCCACTTTATATGAGACAAACTTATATAGGTTAAATAACACGTCTAAAATATCATAGCTAGATGTTGGATCTTTTTAAATCATTCATGTTTATTTTTCACCAAATGACATATTACTTTATGTTTTATTCTGCCACTTTTTTTTTTATTCAATGCTGTCTTGTTTTTGTTTTTTAATTTCTTTATTGTTTATGGTGTTACATATGTATCCTTATTCCCCCATTACCGCCTCCCCCATCCCTCTTCAATGCTGTTTGAACAGCTAGACATTTTAGTATGTATTTGTAGATTGGACTTGCCAGTGTTTGCTGATTTTATTATTTAGTGCATTATCATGTTTATGTGCCACTTACCTTTCATTTTATTGAATTACCCTTAAATTTTTTTTCTCTTGTACCAAATTTCTTTATGTAATATAGGGATCAATATTTATTTTATATGTTTTGAATGTTTTCTCTTGCCTTTTAACCTTTATAGTTTCTTTAGTTGTAAGGAGTTTAGTAATTATTTATATAATTAAATATAGTTGGAACATTTTTGAAAATTCTGGAGAACAGGGTACTAGAATTGCCTAGATTTACCGACTATCACAAACCTGGAGTGAAGACATTTTCTGTCTGAAATTCTTAGGGTATGGACTATTTTACTTGATATAAATTGTGATTTTAAAGTAAATTTATTATTTTATAGTAATAGTCCAAGGAGCTCTCTCTATCAGGTAGCAGTTGCTTAATATCCTTTTTAATGGAATTTTTTAGATGGCTATTTTCTCTTGATGTATTGATTGCAATTAAGCTTTTTTATTTCCTGTTCTGTTTTTCAATCTATTCTCTTTTGTCTTGTGTAGATTGGCCCAAGCTACCCAAGAAAGAACAGATCTTTATGCAAAGCAGGGTCGAGGAAGCCAGTTTACATCAAAAGAAGAAAGAGATAAGTGGATTAAAAAGGAACTCAAGTCTTTAGACCAAGCTATTAATGATAAGAAAAGACAGATTGCTGCTATACATAAGGATTTGGAAGACACTGAGGCAAATAAAGAGAAAAATTTGGAACAGTATAATGTAAGAACTTTTACAGTTATTTTGTAAAAATCTTTCTTAAGAGATAAATGTGTAGTTTTACCTATTTTAAGTTTTTTGTTTAACAGTTTTCCATGCTACTCTTAAAATACATGACAGTACTAATTTTAAAAAGACCATCATCACAATTTAATATACATATGGTAGTTTTTTGTTTTTATTGATTTTTTTAGAGAGGAAGGGAGAAAGAGAAATTGGATTTTAAATTTGAATTATTTTTATTTCCATAGAAACTGGATCAGGACCTTAATGAAGTCAAAGCTCGAGTAGAAGAACTGGACAGAAAATACTATGAAGTAAAAAATAAGAAAGATGAATTACAAAGTGAAAGAAAGTTAGTATAGACTAAAATATGTCAATTTTTTTGAGGAATGCTAACTAGCCCCCTGTTAAATGGTCTTTAAATTAAAAGTTATACAAATACGTTTGATTTCATTATTTTACTCTAAATTTTGTATGTTAGTGCACCTTCTTAAGGCTTTCGAAATTAAAGACAGTCTAATTTTTATTGGTTAGTTACTTGTGGAGAGAGGAGAACGCAGAACAGCAAGCACTTGCTGCTAAAAGAGAAGATCTTGAAAAGAAACAACAACTTCTTAGAGCGGCAACAGGAAAGGTGAGCGGATTCTTTTCATTACCGCAGTTTACATTGAGTCAGTTGCTATCACGTGGAACTTGATTAGCTTTCAGGCTGTAGGTCTTTGGTTCCAGGAAATAAATGAGGAGAGTGCAAATCATTTGTCTTATAAATATGAAATTATGGGTATTGTTTTAGCATGCTATTGATGATAATATTTTTAATAATATAAGAAACTGCATTGTTGTTGGCATATTTCCAAGGGGCATATGTTTTGGAGAGGTGTTTTTACTTTAACCTCTGGCGTATTTTTTAATATAGAAATATGTTTGTTTGTTTTTTGTTTTGTTTTTTTACCAGCAAGAGTGCTATTGGTAAATTATTTTAATATTTTTCACTTCTAAACAGGCCATTTTAAATGGAATAGATAGCATAAACAAAGTGCTAGACCACTTTCGTCGGAAAGGAATAAATCAGCATGTTCAAAATGGCTATCATGGCATAGTGATGAATAACTTTGAGTGTGAGCCTGCTTTCTACACATGTGTAGAAGTCACTGCTGGAAATAGGTGAGATTATTTGCTTGATATCTTGAGTTTTTAAAGGAAAGAAGAAATAAAGAGTAAAACAGTTTTTTGTAGTTTTAGTATAATATATCTCCCATAATCTTCTTTTTCCCTCCATCATCTTCTTATATTCTCAATTACTTACTTAATTTTCTAATTAAATGTGTAGGTACCAAATGTTTGTTTCTATTTGTAGAAGCTAGAACTTTCCCCTTTTGGGGTTTTTTTTCTTAGAGTGGTAACAATTTGCTTTCTCGAAGTAGTTTTTCTCTCCACCCACATATAAATTGGATTTCATAGAAAGGAAATGAATAGTTGAAATGTCTATTTAAATAACACTTTAAAGTCTATCGATAAAAAATGTCTAACAATAAAAATCTGTTATTATTCTGTTTACATGTAGGTTATTTTATCATATTGTTGATTCAGACGAAGTCAGCACGAAGATTTTGATGGAGTTTAATAAAATGAATCTTCCTGGGGAGGTCACTTTTCTGCCTCTTAATAAGTTAGATGTAAGGGATACTGCCTATCCTGAAACCAATGTGAGTTGGCATGTCACGGTCTTTCTTTCAATAAGTTACTTTTTCTCATGTTCAACATATGCTTAGTGCACAGGCACTATACATTAGAATTCACATGGTCTGTGAAATAAATACACATTTTTTCCCCATAGAGCACAGTCACAACATGAAACAAATAATTGGAAATGGTGTGAAATGTTAAAGTACAGAAATGGAGGATGTTTTGAGAATGTATTCTAGGTGACAAAATTAAAGTTAGGTAGTTGGAGAATTCCCTGAGGAACTGTCATTTAAAATGAGTATCAAGTTTTCTGAATATACTGTTTAAAATGGTTTATAAATTAAATTTAAAACATCTAGCAAAATGATAGGCTTGAAATGTAATGTTGCTTTTGTTACTAGCTGGTATATTTTTGAAAAGAAGAAAGTGTTTTGAGGTATTTCCTTTTAGAATGTTCACAATAGTACCAACTATTTATTTTCCTCTAAGGTTAGAGCTGAAACCTTATGAGAATGATCAACAATTTCAGAGGAACAATGAGAATCTTATAAGCTACTCAAAGGGCCCAGCTTTTTTTTTTAAATCTATAAATTGTATTTAAATTTTGGGGGAGGAGAAATTGAGTCACAAATGTGACCTGTGAATGAAGCAAGACACAAAAGAATGCAGATAGTGTGCTTCCCTTTACATTACCTAAACAAAACAGCTGCCGCTGTTTCATAAAGAAAGCCCTCTCCTTTTATTCTTATTTTATCTGAAAATAATATTTTTCTAAGGTAGATATGAAGTAAAATTAAATATTTGGAGGAAACACTATTTACATTTGTTATGTGTTTTTATGTGACAGATGCTATCCTGTTTCACATATATTTTGTCTAGTTTTAGTAACTTTATGAGAAAGATACTGTTGTTATTGCAATTGTATAAATGAAAAAAGCTTTATATAGAGAAGTTAGGCAGCTTTTTAGTAAGCTCTTTATCACTGTGCTATACTATTGAAAACCTAAATGATTAAATGGGCACTATTTTCAGGATATTTTAGCAGAATGTTTTTTCTAACATCTTCAGGATAAAAACCTATAGTTTTGAAATATAAAGGCATTTGTGTTTATTTCTATTTCATAAAGATGAAATTTATAATTCTAACATGTTTTAATTAACTGTGTTGTGATCTCTTTGTTTCCTAATAAAATATTCATTTTTAGGATGCTATCCCTATGATAAGTAAGCTGAGGTACAATCCCAGATTTGACAAAGCCTTCAAACATGTGTTTGGAAAAACACTGATTTGTCGTAGCATGGAAGTTTCAACCCAGTTAGCCCGTGCTTTCACTATGGACTGCATTACCCTGGAAGGTTTGTAATGGGATTTATTTCCCATTTAAGTTTTAAGAGTATTTGAAAATTTATGTCCAATTCTTTTTTAAATAGTTGGTCTATTTAAATCAGAATCCAAACAGGGTCCACACTTTATATTTAGTTGATGTCTGTTAAATATAATTACTTGGTCTATAATAGAGGTTCTTAATCTTTTTTGCACCATAGATTCCTTTGGCTCTTTGGTTAATGAAGCCTATGCATCTTTTTCAATGTTTTTAAACATTGACCATAAAAAACAAATTATATTGGTACATTGGCATGGTAATCACATTAAAAAATATGACATAGTAATTCTTAAGGTATTCAAAAATAAGACTTAGCAGTGGGACTAATCTATCTAAGCCTAAGCAACTGTTACAATGGAATGACCAGTCAACCAATTGCTATGATGTGCACTGACCTCCAGGGGGGCAGATGCTCAACACATTGATGTCTGGCGTCCCTTCTTTCCGCCTGGCCTGATGACTGTCGCCTTCTCTCCCAACCCTGCTGGGGCCTTGAAACTCCAGGCTGGGATGAGGAACTGGGGGTGAGTGGCAGTGGATGCAGCCCCATTCCCAGAGGGGGCGAGTGCTGAGGGCACTCGGACAACCTGTGCCCTGTTCCTCCCCCCAGCTGGCAGGCCCCGCTGAGTGCCTGCCAGGCCTAGGGACCCTGCCTGTGCACAAATTTGTGCACTGGGCCTCTAGTAAATCATAATTTTGAAGTACTGCTGCATGTAAACAATATTTTGAGATTTGTGACTGTTATCTGAAAGAAAATATCTGTTATTTCTCTTGATAACGAAGTCTTGATATGCTGTGGTTCTTGTCTCATTCATTAAAGAAGGAATTACTAAATTTCATTTGAGATTAGCATAAAAGTAAAGATATACGTTTTTTTCCACTCAAGACAAGGACCTCCTAAATTTTATCTGGAATCCAGGTTAAGAACCTCTTATACATAGGCTCATTTACCTTCATTTTTTCCCCCTTTATAATTTTATAATGTGTTGATGAAAGAAGGTAAACCACCCTCCAGCTTTGTCTCTCTCTCTATAAAATTTTATGTTGTTTTGAGCCATCTGAGAATAAGTTTTACGATACTTGATCTCTAAAATTTAAAGCATGTATCTCCTTTATAACTATAATGTCATTGTTAAATCTAAGAAATTTATTATTATTTTTTTAAATGCACTGCAGAATCCACAGATCCTGCTTTTTTTTTTTTTTTTTTTTTTAATATATTTTATTGATTTTTAACAGAGAGGAAGGGAGAGAGACAGAGAGCTAGAAACGTCGATGAGAGAGAAACATCGGCCAGCTGCCTCTTGCACACCCCCTACTGGGGATGTGCCCGCAACCAATTACATGCACTTGACCGGAATCGAACCTGGGACCTTTCAGTCTGCAGACCGACACTCTACCACTGAGCCAAACCAGCTTCGGCAAATCTAAGAAATTTAATATTAACTTTATAAAATCTAAAAAGGGTCTATATTCAAATTTTCTCAATTGCCCCAAAATAAAAAAAAATTAAATTACAGTATAGTTGACATTATATTAGTGTACAGCATAGTGATTTGACATTTATATGTCAAATAATCTCTTCATAATTAATAATCACTTCATAAGGTATATTTATATACCTTATGAAGTGATTATTACATTCAAATCATTTTTCTGTCCAGGGTGCAGGCAATGTCTTCTCTTTAGATTATTTTAATGTAGGACAGTTTCTCCTGTTTCTACCTGCAGAAATTGACCTTCTCAAAAAAATGTCCATTCTCTGTATTTGTCTTCCTTATCATTAGATTCAGGTTAAAAATTCTTGGCATATTGATATGTACATATAGTATCACATAATGTATCCCATTGTTGGTGATGCTGAGTTTGACCACGAGCAAAATACTTTTTCCCTTTTTAAATTAATAAATGATATGTGGGATTGTCTTTTAAGAATATTAAATATCATGTTCCCCCACAACTTTTTTAGCATCTTTTGCTGATCATTGCCTGACTCAATTAATACACTGAGGGTTTCAGAATGGTGATTCTTATATTGCTTCTGTATTTATTAGCTGTCACTATTCTGTAAAGAAAGCCCTCTCCTTTTCTTATTTTTAAAGTATCACTGTGATTAATGGATTATTTTTTTTATTCCACATTGTCACTTATTTTTTATCAAATTTTCTCAAATATGGCCAGTGTTACTACATTGTCACTTATTTTTTATCAAATTTTCTCAAATATGGCCAGTGGGAATTCCAAGCTAGTTCTATGATTCTATGTCCTGTTCACATGTCTCCATTTTCTAGCAGAGGTTTGGGCTCACCTAAAAAGCACATTTTTTTAAACGCATATTTTAATATTGAAAAGCAAATTTTTTTCAGAGTAGCTTAAATTCTTTTTAATTCTCATTAAATAGATAAAAACTTTAGTTATTTGATTGTAAGTCAGTATATCATTGAGTAAAGTTGTTATAAAGAATTACTACCTTTCTTATGTTTTATTTATAGGTGACCAAGTTAGTCATCGGGGTGCTCTAACTGGAGGTTATTATGACACAAGGAAATCTAGACTTGAATTACAAAAAGATGTTAGAAAAGCAGAAGAAGAACTAGGTGAGCTTGAAGCAAAGCTCAATGAAAACCTGCGCAGAAATATTGAAAATATCTTTTTGTGCTACTGTGGAGAACTGCATTTTGGTTAGAATATATAATCTTTTGCATGTTAGGTGTATCTTCTCATATACAGTGGGGAAAAATTCCATATATTTTACTTTGTCTTTTATTTAAGTACAGAAGCTTATATTTGTCAACTTCTGAAGGCCGAAAAAACTATTTTAGCATTGATCCTTTACTTTGTTGATCAATAGCTAGTAGTGAGTCTGCTGAGCGAAAAGAACTCAAGAAACACTAAAATTTAAGGTTATAAGGTAACTGAGGAGGATTAATTAGAAAATTGTAGAAGGAAAACCAGGATAGTGTTTCGTGAAAGAAAGAAAGGGGAGAGGGGTAATCAATCAGAAATGCTACATTCTTCATAGAAATTAAATAGATAAGGGTTGAAAATATCCATTAGATTTTATTATCTCGAGATCATTTGGCTGAGACTTAGTAGGGTGGAGGAAATGGCTGTCAAAATCCATAAAAATGGTGTGCTATTACAAGTGGCTAGTTCAGCCCTTGATTCACTGTCCTCAGCTTTAATAAAGGTACTCTCAAAATCATACATAAAAAGCTTGTAACTAAAATTGTGCCTGTTCATTTTCTTAAAACAGCCATGGTTTAAGGCAAAAGTGCTTTATGTTACTTCACATTATATGTCACACGATACTAAAAATACAGATACTCGAGCAGCAAAAATAATCATTTTTACTGCTTCAATAAAATATTCTTAATTGAAACTGGCATTTTTAAAAAGGAGTTTATAGCTTCTGTGCCATCAGTGAAAGCAATAGCATTTAGAAAACGGTAAATATCCTAGTTTTGACTTTGCAGAGGTCTACGTAGCATATTTTGAGAACTCTAAATTTGGCAACTTTTTACCACTAAGAAAGCATGGGAAATACTAGGAAAAAGAAAATTGACACCAACTACCTTTTCATATTTGATAATCCAGTGAGGTACAATTATTCCACATTGGGCAAGGCCTTGTCATAGATATATAACTTCCATATATAATTGATGCTGTAAGCATAATAGGCTACACAATAAGTATTTGTTTAATGAAAAGATGTTAACAAAAATACTGTTATATTTCATTTAGCTTCTAGGGTTTTTCAAGAATATTTATTGGTTGATTGGTATAGCTATTAGTAAAATAACATGTTATTTTAAAAGAGAAATGGTGTGGTGAACACCATTTAATTCAACATTCTTATGGTCCATAAATTTGAGGAAACAACTTTTATTTAAGGGTTAAGGAAGAGGGAAGGGATACAAAATGTGTTGAACTGAAAAGAGTTTAGAACATAAAATGTATTTACAAGTTGGAGAGAATTTTCCTTAGCCTTGCATATGGATTAATAATGAAATTGACCAGTTGATGAACCAAATGCAGCAGATAGAGACCCAGCAACGGAAATTTAAAGCATCTCGAGATAGCATATTATCAGAAATGAAGATGCTAAAAGAGAAGAGGCAGCAATCAGAAAAAACTTTTATGCCAAAGGTTTGTAAGTATGCCTTTTATTATAGACTAGTGGCCCGGTGCATGAAATTTGTGCACATTAAAATGGGAGTAATTAGAGGAGATATTTTAATACTGCTATTTGCCCTTTCTCTATAATAGAAGTGTCAGAGATGAAAGAAAATTAGTAAAATGTATATGAAAATCTTCCACTTGCCAAAGTCTGGGTGCTCCGCGGGACCCAGAGTCATGGCGCTTCAAAATCGCAAGACCCAGGCCCAGCTGCCACACCCCTGTTGGGCGAGATCCAGACATACTGTATTTTCCTGTGTATAAGACGACTTTTGAAATGAAAAAAAGCCTGCTCAGATTGGCCAGAGTCAGAGAGGCGGTCTATTAAAAAAAGAACTGGTTTTGCCTTGGAAGTGGGGGGTAGTCTTATACAGCGAATATAAGCTTAAACCTATGTTTTAACTGTAAAATTAGGGGGGTCGTCTTATACACCGGAAAATACGGCTGGCTGTCCCCACCCTTGTCAAGCCCCTCCGGGTAGGGGGCACAGCCTCAGGTCCCCTGTCAAGCCCCACCAGGTGGGCAGCACAGTCAAACCCTGCCGGGCAGGGGGTGCAGCCTCAGGTCCCTGCTGAAGTCTTGTTAAGGCTCTTACGGCAACTTAGCCTTTGCTGTGGGCGCCACCATCTTTGTTACGGTGTGATGGTTAATTTGCATATTTCATTTTTATTAGATAGGATGTTTTAATTAATAGAATTGGGTGAACCATGTTAAATAGGTTATCCACACTTATACCAAGAATACCTAAAGTCACTCTTCCTAGCCCACATTCAGATTTTCCAAATTCATTCAACAAAAGGCATTTTGAACTATGGCATAATAGTACTGATAGTAATGAATTTGTAGTTAATTATTTTTGTCTGTAAAATACTATTATTTGAATATTTTATTGCATTTTGTTCAGAGTATTAAAATGAGTAGAAAGCAAATCGTAACTGCTGTTACAGTGAAAATATATATTGGACTTACAAATGTGAAGTTGTTTGAGAAAACTAATTTGGTACATCAGTACTAATACAAAAATTTTTTTCTAAAAATTACCCACAATTATTCTACCCCAATACATTCTAGCAACTATTGTTGGTTCTTATGAGTTTATGTGAAGATTTTTATATAGTTTGGTCATGGGGTAGTATTCCACACAGCCCCATAGTATTGCATCATGAATATTATTGCTACATAGTTCTAATTATCAAATGTAATGGATACTTAATAGTTAATTTGAGTTGATATGATTCTTAGCTCACTTTAATATCAAATGTAGATTGTTACCAATTTTTTACTATTATAAGTGATACAGTAACTAGTACCTTTATTAATACTTAAGTTAATCTGTTTATAGCAACGCAGTTTACAAAGTTTGGAGGCAAGTTTGCATGCTATGGAGTCCACCAGAGAATCATTAAAAGCAGAGCTGGGAACTGATTTGCTTTCTCAACTTAGTCTGGAAGATCAGAAGAGAGTAGATGCACTGAATGATGAAATTCGTCAACTTCAGCAGGCAAGTACAATTGATAGGAAAAAATAATTATTGATAATTATTTTTACTGTGGAAAGTATCTTTCTTACTAATAAAGAAAAGTGAAAGATTATTGAGAAAATGTAAAAATGACTCTTGGACTTACCCATAAGAGTAAATAAAAAAAGATTTTAACAAGTTTTCCTAAACCTTTCTGTATATGTTAGGATTATACAAGAAATCTTCATTTTATTCTATCTTATTTAGTGCATATTTATTAGTAGTAAGGTTTGACTTGTTAGCTTTGTCATATTTATTATGATGATCTTTACATATTCAATATTATTTGAATTGAACATTTTAATAATATTTTATTATTGAGACAGATTTAAACAATATTAAGTCCAAAAAATTAAAAGCAGGAAAAGAAAAACATTTTTGGTAGTATGCTTATTAAAAGAAACAGGCACAAAAACTTAGCATTTTGAAGATAGAAAATGAAGAAAATATACAGACTTTGGAATGGTATGAAACTTCATAATGCTCATTTGAACACAAGTAATGGGGATGACAGCAAATTAACAGCATTCTTGTATATAAAATATACATGCCTATGTAGACAAATAATTTTCTTTCCTTTTAGGAAAACAGACAGTTGCTGAATGAAAGAATTAAATTAGAAGGTATTATTACTCGAGTAGAGACTTATCTCAATGAGAATTTGAGAAAGCGCTTGGACCAAGTAGAACAGGTATGTTCTTTTTTGGGAGTTCCTTGACCACCATAACCGTTTGAAGTACATATAAGAGGCTCTGTTTGAGAGAATGGACTTTGGGGACCAAAAGACTAGCAGTGTGACCACCTGGCTAGCATTGCCACTTGGTTTATGATCTTAGATAAGTCATTTAATATTTCTAAGCTTCAGGTTCAGGACTTTAATACTGTTTTGTATTTGTATCCTGGCACAATCTAGGTAAAAGTTATTAATATTTTATCAGTAAAAATTATTAATATTTTATCAGTAGAAGGTAGATGTGGAGAAATTTTTCAATTATTATCATTATTTTTCCCCCCTGTAATGGTACTTTAAGTATTTGCAATTGTATGAAGTATGTTTATTCAAACATACAGCTATAGAAACTATTGCTAGTCAGAACATTTTGAAACTAACATTCATATCCTGTGAATGAATGCTCATAAGTTCCTTTTGTTTTTCAGGAACTGAATGAACTGAGAGAGACAGAAGGGGGTACTGTTCTCACTGCTACAACCTCAGAACTTGAAGCCATCAATAAAAGAGTAAAAGACACTATGGCACGATCAGAAGGTAAATTATTGTTTAGTAAATTTTTTAAAATGTATTTAGTTAAATTTAGCTTATTTGTTTTATAACATTGTTTACTACAAAACGAAATATTCAAAAAGGCAAAATTATCTAATCATGATTTTTTGTTTTCCATAATCGTGAACAGTATAGTGAACAGAGTTCAGGGTGTTGATTATAGATAGTAATCTTTGTTTTATTGAAATATTTGTGACAATTTTGAGATTGTAAATTATTAATTTTATTGAGAAAAGTATGAAATAACTGAATCAGTTTTCTTACTGCCTACTTACTGAGAAGAAAATTCTTTTTTAGTTTTTTCTAAAGATAAACATTAAATAATAATAAAAACTACTCATTCTCATGTAAACTTCTAATTTATCCTGAATTAAATATTTTATGAATTTTTCACAGTAAAATTTAAACAAACATGAAAAAGTCTAATTATTTTGATAGATTTGACCACTAAAATAAAACGTTTGGTCAAGTAACATTCTGTCTGTAAAGTAGGTATTATTATCTAATTTGTTCTCCACTCCCTCTTCCCCCCCCATTTCAGATTTGGACAATTCCATTGATAAAACAGAAGCTGGAATTAAGGAACTTCAGAAGAGTATGGAGCGCTGGAAAAATATGGAAAAAGAACATATGGATGCTATAAATCATGACACTAAAGAACTAGAAAAGATGACAAATCGACAAGGCATGCTACTGAAAAAGAAAGAAGAATGTATGAAGAAAATTCGAGAACTTGGATCACTTCCTCAGGAAGCATTTGAGAAATACCAAACACTGAGTCTCAAACAGGTAAATCTTGTGGTTTTAAATTTGAAATGTCATTGCAAATTTTCCTGTATATGAATTTACGTATACATTTTTCTCTCCTTGTAGTTGTTTCGAAAACTTGAACAGTGCAACACAGAATTGAAGAAGTACAGTCATGTTAACAAAAAAGCTTTAGACCAGTTTGTAAATTTCTCTGAGCAAAAAGAAAAATTAATAAAGCGACAAGAAGAATTGGATAGGGGATACAAATCAATCATGGAACTGATGAATGTACTTGAACTTCGAAAATATGAAGCTATTCAGTTAACTTTCAAACAGGTATGTTTTTTCCCTTTCTTTTTTCCCCAGAGAGAAGGGGCAGGAAGGGGGGGGGGAGAGAGAGAAAGAATCATGTATGTGAAAGAGACACATTGATTGCCTTCCCCATGCACCCTGACTGGGGCTGGGAATGGAGCCTGCAACCGAGGTATTGTGCCATTGATTAGAATCAAACCCGGGATCCCTCAGTCCAAGGGCTGACCGCTCTATCCACTGAGACAAGTAGTTAGGGTCATATGTTTCTTTTATTAGTATATAAACACACATGACAAAAGCTTCAGCTATCATTCAGTTTATTTTTCAGTTTGTAAGGATTTTTTTCCACTGATAGTGGATTTAATACATGTGAATAAATTCAGCACTTAAGTTACTAACATAGTAACTAGATTATTTTACACGTAGTTGTTTTTTCTTTTTTTTAAGATTATTTAAAGAAATATTTTCATTGTAATTTTTAGAGAGAGAGAGGAGGGGAGAGAGAGAAACATTAATATGAGAATGAAACATCTCTCAGTTGCCTCCTGCATACCTCTCACCTGGGAATGATCCCACAATTGGGGCACATACCCTAACCGAGAATTAAATTGGCAACCTTTTGGTGCACAGGATGACAACCAGCCAAATGAGCCACACCACTGGCCAGGGCTACGTAGTTCTTAAAAGGATCACATCTTTTATTGTTTTTAAAAAATACTTCTGGGCCTTGCTGGGTAGCATAGAGCATTCTTCCTACTCACCAAGGTTTTGGGTTCATCCCCAGTTAGGGGTTGTATAAGAATCAAACAATGAATGCATAAATAAGTGGAACAACAAATAGATCTCTCTTTCTCCCTCCCCCTCCCCCTCTCTCTTCCCTCCCCCTCTCCCTTTCCCCTTCTCTCTCCCTCTAAAAAAAGTCAATTAAAAAAATGCATATTAAAAAAATACTTCTGCCGGGACCGGTTTGGCTCAGTGGATAGAGCGTTGGCCTGCGGACTGAAAGGTCCTGGGTTCGATTCCGGTCAAGGGCATGTACCTTGGTTGCGGGCACATCCCCTGTGGGGGGGTGTGCGGGAGGCAGCTGGTTGATGTTTCTCTCATCGACGTTTCTAACTCTCTGTCCCTCTCAATTCCTCTCTGTGTAAAATCAATAAAATATATTTAAAAAAAAATACTTCTGATTGCTTTTACATACTTGTCTTTGTTTTAATCAGTAAGATGTATAGTTCCATATAAGCAAATTTTATATTAGGTCTAGTAATAATTAATGTCGTTTTCTAATACCTTTTTAAAACCGAATTTATTTAAACAATACAACAAAATTTAATCAACAATATAGTTGCTGTTGTTTTCTACTACTTGTGCCCAACGCTCAGGAAGCATTTTAATCCCTCTGTTGTAAAATTCTTGTGATTTTGATGCAAAAAATTCACTCAATGCATTTTTGAGGCATTCTTCATTAATTTTTTTTCCAAGAAGAAAGTTTTGCAAAGAACGAAACAAATGGTAATCGGAAGGGGCAATATCAGGAGAATATGCAGGTTGAGGGAGAACTTCCCATTCCAACTGGCGCAGTTTTTCAGCAGTGATTCTTGCAGTATGCGGTCGTGCGTTATTGTGGTGAAGAATTAAGCCCTTCCGATTAATCAGCGCGGGTTCTTTTTCTCTTAAAGCTTGGGCTAACCTTTCCAATTGGGCACTATACACTGCACTTGTAATGGTTTGGTTAGATGGTAAAAGTTCATAATGAAGAATTCCTTTAAAATTCCACCAAACACACATCACTTTTTTCGCATGCAAGTCAGGTTTTGGCGTGGGCTGCGGAGCCTCATTTTTGTCCAACCATTGAGGCCGCCTTTTCAAATTAGCATACAGCACCCATTTTTCATCTCCGGTAACAATTTGCTCTAAAAACGGCAAACGGTTTTGACGAGAGAGGAGCGAACTGCAAATTGTGACTCTTTGATTACGGTTGTTGTCGGTCAACTCATGAGGAACCCATTTTCCAAACTTTTGGACTTTGCCAAGTGCACGCAATTGATTGGAAATTGTTTTTTGTGAACAATTTAAAGTTGTCGCAAGCTCTTGTTGGGTAATTTGAGGATTTTGCACCAAAAGAGCTTGAAGAGCTTCTTGATCAAAATTGGACACACGGCCTCGACCACTCTTGTCATCTAACGAAAAATTTCCCTCGCGAAATTTCTCAAACCAACGCTGGCATTTTCTGGCGCTAACTGCATCTTGACCAAGAGCACTACAGATGTTTTTTGCAGCCTCACTTGCTTTTCTTCCTAATTGGAACTCGTAAAGCATGCAGTGCCGAATATGCTCTTCATCCGCCATCTTCTTAGCCCTAGTTTTGCAACAAAAACCAAACCAAACACAAACTTTTTCAAGCAAAACTTGTTAATTGCACTTCACATGTTCTGTAGATACCACGTGTTTAAAGGTTATGTCAATACAAGTCAACGCCAAGCAAGATTTTAAATGAATGTTTAAAAACGACATTAATTATTACTAGACCCGATGTTTGAATGGACACCCAACCTTATTATATATCTGTTTGTTTATTTTAAGGTATCCAAGAACTTCAGTGAAGTATTTCAGAAGCTGGTCCCTGGAGGCAAAGCTACTTTGGTGATGAAGAAAGGAGATGTTGAGGGCAGCCAGTCTCAGGATGAAGGAGAAGGGAGTGGTGAAAGTGAGAAGGGTTCTGGATCACAAAGTAGTGTCCCATCAGTTGACCAGTTCACTGGAGTTGGAATCAGGGTAAATACTTTTACATCCAGTTTTCCTCAGTAATTATCAGTGTAATTTGTAAATATTTTGCAAATCTAAACAGTAGATGTATGCATTTTAATTTGAAGAGATGATTGTGATTCAACCCCTTTCTGATCTTGACTCAAATGTTTTCTTAGGTGTCATTTACAGGAAAACAAGGTGAAATGAGAGAAATGCAACAGCTTTCAGGTGGACAGAAATCCTTGGTAGCTCTTGCTCTCATTTTTGCCATTCAGAAATGTGACCCAGCTCCTTTTTACTTGTTTGATGAGATTGACCAGGCTCTGGATGCTCAGCACAGAAAGGCTGTGTCAGGTACAGTGTTGGTTTTACACTTAGCAATGAGAACATGCTCTAAAATGATAGCTTAGCTCTTTTATAGTGATTTCTTGTTGCCTGAGAGATTTGGGGTTACTAGATAGGATATGTATCCTGTATAATAAAGATTTAATATGCTAATTAGACCGAACAGCAGAATGACCTTCCAGGCGACCTTCCAGATTTTCGTGCATCAGGCCTCTAGTTAGTAAATAAAATTTATCTTTTAATAGGTTTTAAAATTTAACATTAGACTTCGTTGCAAAGTTTTGTGAGGAAGATGTAATTTTTTTGAATCAGTTGAAAAACCTACTGCTCTGGCCAGTGTGGATCAGTTTGTTGGAGCATTGTCCCGTACACCAAAAGGTTTTGGGTTTGGTTCCCAGTGAGGGCACATACCTAGGTTGTGGTTCAAGGCCCAGTCTGAGGGCGCATGCAGGAGGCAACCAGTCAATTTCTTTCTATCTCCCTCTCTCTCTTCTCTCGAAAAATTAATAAAAGATAAAATTGTACTTGAGTTAAACTTTTTAATGTAGAAGTTGCTTATTTTAAAACGTGTATTTCAATGTTTGAATAGTTTGTCATAAACATTGTTGATTATGCGGTTAAAGAATCTGTATTTGATGTTTAGTAAGTTCAGAAGATCTTTGGGGAAGCCCTGGCAGGCTAGCTCAGTTGGTTAGAAACTCATGTGCCAGGGTTATGGGCTTGATTCCTGGTCAGAGCACATACAAGAGATAACTAGTGAGTGCATGAATGAGGGGAACAACACAGTGATGTTTTTCTCTGCTTGCTCACTAAAAATAAATAAATAAATAAATAAATTAAAAATCAGTAAATTAAAATAAAACACCAGTAAGGTTAATTTAAAAAATATATATATATATCTTTGGGGGTGGTAACAGGGGGAAGGCATTTTGCTCTCACATTATTTCTAATGCTGTATTAGAAGTTACTGCTTCTTGCCGAAGCCAGTTTGGCTCAGGGGTGGAGCGTTGGTCTGCGGACTGAAGGGTCCCGGATTCGATTCCGGTAAAGGGCATGTACGTTGGCTGCGGGCACATCCTGGTGGGGGATGTGCAGGAGGCGGCTGGTCGATGTTTCTCTCTCATCGACGTTTCTGGCTCTCTGGCTCTCTCCCTTCCTCTCTGTGAAAAGTCAATAAAATATATTTAAAAAAAAAAAAGAAGAAGAAGAAGAAGTTACTGCTTCTTTATATTCTGGAACTAAGATACTGGGGTTAAAGATTTATTTGTAATTTAAGAAATTAAAGTGGTAATTTTTGTAGGTATATGCATAAAAATAGAGTCACAAGCTGTTTTGAATATTAAGAGTAAAGATAGTTGCATTATAAATTTTAAGATCTGAGAAAAGGGTCTTGTTAAATTACTTTTTTTTTTTTTTTTTTTACAGATATGATTATGGAACTTGCTGTACATGCTCAATTTATTACAACTACTTTTAGGCCTGAACTGCTTGAGTCAGCTGACAAATTCTATGGTGTAAAATTCAGAAATAAGGTAACTTTTTTACATGAAGTTTAAGTTTATGTAGTATTTAATCCATTATATTGAATTCTTATTTTGTGTTACTTCAGTCATGAAAGAAAACTTAGAAAGTTGTTGCTCATCTGATGATGTATTTGTAAAGAAAAAACTTTACTTAAAGTGCCCAGGAGATTTAGTAGTTTTTTGTGGCATTCACTGCACTGATATTTTTTCCCTTGTCTTGTCATTAAGAGACAATATCTTCCTATCTAGTCATTCATTGCTTCTTTATGAAGTCTTTAACAGTTACGTACATTGATTTATATTTGGCCTGACCGTTTTTCTTGGTGTTTTAATAAGCCTTAGTGTTCTCTGAAACAGCAAAATAATACATAGGCCTAAGTTCTTGTCCATATCTTCAGAGCATTAAAAGGCAGAATATTTTTAAATTCACATATTGAACAAACACCATCTATATAATAATCTATATAATAAAAGCCTAATATTGTCCCCTTGACCCGGAGGTCGGCTAGGGGCCAAGGCAGGCTGGCCAACTGCAGGAAAGGAGGCCCTGGCTGGTAGCTGGCAATTGCTAGGGATCCTACCTATGCATGAATTTTGTGCACTGGACCTCTAGTTATAAATAAAAATTTTATCAGTGTGTGATTTAGAATCATTTAACTTAATATGTGAAATTTACAGGTAATAGGTTATATATTTTAACTATTATCCTGTACAGTGGGAACACTGTTATATTTCTTTATGATTTAACAGATTTTATTTTTGCATTCTTCAGGTTAGTCATATTGATGTGATCACAGCAGAGATGGCCAAAGACTTTGTAGAAGATGATACCACTCATGGCTAATTGGAAACTGTTGCCCATGGGTTTGGAAGATATGTATAATATTATGATTCTCATTCCCAGGAACTGTAAATTAAACTTAAATATGTGGTCACTATTAATAGTTTTCAGATTTAGAGAACACACAGTCCTTTTATATTTCAGTCATTGTATTTTATAAGATACTCTGTAATGTTACATTTCTATGTATAGTTTAAGAATTTTATTTCCCACACAACTTTTTGTAAAGTGTCCTGTTAACTGTTTTAAAATCTTTGAAACATGCTAAATATCTTTTCCTAATTATTTTACCAATTATATTGCCTCTTTTTTTATAGCTTCAATTAAATAATTGGTTTTATGACTTAATTTTGTTTTTAAATTTTGTGTTTTATATGGCTTTTTATTTATAGTTGTACAATTAGAGATAAATATTTCTTAAATATCTGTTTTATTTTGCCTAAGAAAAGGCTGCCTTCACTTAAAAGAAGATTTTAAAATAGTTCCATATTCTGTTAAATGTTATCAGTGGTTCCTAATCTAGGCTGCCTGCTTAAACACATGGAGGAAGCTCTTAAAAATGGAACACTGTGGGAGTCTGTCCCTATACCAGTTGGATCAAAATCCAAAAGGGATGGTGTCCTGGTCACTTCGTTCTGAAATCCCCCAGGTGATTCTGACTCTCAATGAGGGTTAGAACCCCTGCTTTATTTTTTATTTTTATTATTGTTATTATTTTTTTTTTTTGTTAATCCTCACCCGAGGATATTTTTTCATTGATTTTTAGAGATAGTGGAAGAGAGAAACACATCGGTGGTTGCCTCATGCACAAGCCCCAACCAGAGCCCGGGCTGGGGAGGAACCTGCAATCAAGGTACGGGCCCTTGACCGGAACCAGACCCATTGCTGTTTGGTCTGCAGGCCAACACTATCCACTGAGCCAAACGGGCTAGGACAGAACTCCTGCTTTAAACTCAACAGTCCTTTAAAAATTATTTTTAATTTAAGATTACAATCTATTTAATAGGACTTGGGAATGTGGTTTTAAAAATAACATTTATAAAGCTTTTTGCAACTTAAAAAAAAAAAAATGTGGCCCAGTTGGTGTGGCTCAGTGGTTGAGTGTAGACCTATGAACAAGGAGGTCATAGTTCAGTTCCCTGTCAGGACACATGCCCGGGTTGTGGGCTCAATCTCCAATGTGGGGTGTGCAGTGGCAGTCAGTCAATGATTTTCTCAGTCATTGATATTTCTATCTCCCTCTCCCTTCCTCTCTGAAATCAATACAGATATATTAAAAAAATAAAATATGGGGTGATTAGCAAAAATGGGTTAAGCATTTTGTCAAAATAAGTAAAGTACTAATTTTAAAGAAAATAATGCAATTTAGAGAAACATAATAGAAGTATAAAAAAAGTATAAGATGAATTTTGGAGGATTTTTTTTAAAGTATTTAAGCAATAGCAACCCTGACTTCAAAAATGTTTAGTTTATTCTTTATTTTTTTAAAATATATTTTATTGATTTTTTACAGAGAGGAAGGAGAGGGATAGAGAGCTGGAAACATTGATGAGAGAGAAACATTGACCAGCTGCCTCCTGGACACCACCTACCAGGGATGTGCCCGCAACTAATGTACATGCCCTTGACTGGAATTGAACCTGGGACCTTTCAGTCCGCAGACCAATGCTCTATCCACTGAGCCAAACCGGTTTCAGCTAGTTCATTTTTAAATGGCGTTTCTTTCATAACAACTCTCAGGGTAGAGGGCTAGCACTTTTTGTTCAATTCCCACAAAGAGAGAGAATCTTTTGCTGAGGAAGAGCAAACATTAAGATTTGTCACCCAGCAAATGGTCACCTTATCCCGGGAGCGGCATCATGCTTCCGGGACACTTGCCAGAGAGGAGCAGAAAGTGTTCACTGTCAAGGAATTTTTATAGTAGCAATGGCATTCTTTATCGTTCTTCACCTTCACTCAGGCATATCCTCTTATCCTGGAACATGAATAAGTAATCTTTGTTTGCATATTCAACAGGGGAGAGCAAATGGAAAGCAGATGCACACTGATGTCGTTAAAACTGACAGCAACATGTTCACTTACTACCAAGAAACTAGGACTGTCTTTCCTTCTTTATTTGAAGATTTCTTTTGAATTGTATGTTATTAGGTAGAAATTACCCTCTCTGCTTTTCTGTGAAGATGAAACAATAGTGATACCCTTGTTCCGTAGGTTTCATACTTTTGGGAGAAGCAGGCAGCTCTTTTCCTCTGTGAAAAATGACAGAATCATTTTCAATGGTCTGTTGCTTAGAGGTGTGGTGTGCCCTTTCTTTTGGCCTCATTAAGTAATGCTTGATAAAGTGGGTTGATTCAGATACCTCTTTAGAAGGAATCTTAGTTCGGCAGGAACACGGATTTTGTAAGGCATTTCCTCTTCTTAAATAAAGCTTTTTTGGTCAACATGCTCTAAGCTAAAAATATCAGGCCCTTACACAGAGGATCCAGAGATACAAGATTTTTTTTTTTTTTTTTAGTTTAAGACTTTCATAGTTAAGGAAATTTGCCTAGGTAATGAGGAAGTGAGCACGCACAGCTTAGTAACTGGCAGAGCCAGAATGAAGCCCAGGCTTTCCTGCCTTGAATAAAGGGGACTCTTGACGTGTTAGGTCTTTATTCTCCCTGCTGAACTATGAAAATGGGGGAGATGTTGTGTTGTGTTTGTACCATGTTGGTCCTAAAGTAATACTTGTAGGGTGAGTCACCATTGTTCGTTTTCTTTACCTCTTCGCTCTCTCTCTCCTCCCCCTTTTTCTTCAGACCTTACGTATTTTGGTGCAAGTCACTTGTCTCAATGTCCTAGGGGGACTGGCTGCCAGTCTTCCGCCTGGAAGATGCCAGAGTTGCTCCATAAATCTGCCACTGTGTGGCACTCAGTCTCCCCTTCCTAGAGACAGAGAGTCTCCTGGGTGTAACAGCCCTTGTGGCAGCCAGTAGCTGCAGGGAGATGAGGCAGCACAGAGATTAGGTTTGCAGGGAGAGCATGGATATATTTACTCTCTCAAGTCATTGCATCAGTGGCTAGAAGTCCACTGCAAAGAGAACATTAGCATTTGAATGTCATCTTTTTTGGATTCTCTGTGGGTCAGACCAATGCCTGGCGAGTTGATTGTATAAAACATTCAAGTGTACATTGATACCAAGTCCTGCTCTAGCTTCATCAATTAAGTCTACAATTATTCAGACATTAAAAAATAATGGTTATTGTCCTGGCCAGTGTGGCTCAGTTAATGAGAGTGTCATCCCTTATTCTGAAAGGTTGTGGGTTCGGTTTCCAGTCAGGGCATACAACTAAGTTTCCATTGGGCTGAGAACAGGAGGCAACCAATTGTTCTCTCATATCAGTGTTTCTCTCCTTGTTTCCCTCTCTAAGCATTTCCTTAGGTGAGGATTAAAAAAAACCCCATGGCTCAGTGGATAGAGTGTTGGCCTGCGGACTGAAGGGTCCCAGGTTCAATTCCGGTCAAGGGCATGTACCTTGGTTGTGGGCACATCCCCAGTAGAGTGTGTGCAGAGGCAGATGATTGATGTTTCTCTCATTGATGATTCTAACTCTCCCTCTCCCTTCCTCTCTGTAAAAAAAAATCAATAAAATATATTGAAAAAATAAAAATGGTTACAAAGACTGGAAACATGGAAGTATATATAGTGAGAGGGGAAAACCACAACAGAAAATTGAACATGAGCCTTAACCAGTTTAGCTCAGTGGATAGAGCATCAGTCTTTGGACTGAAAGGTCCCAGGTTCAATTCTGGTCAAGGGCATGTACCTTGGTTGCGGGTACATCCCCAGTAGGGAGCATGCAGGAGGCAGCTGATTGGTGTTTCCCTCTCATCGATGTTTCTAACTATCCTCTCCCTTCCTCTCTGTAAAAAATTAATAAAAGGTTTAAAAAAAAAAAAGAAAATTGAACATGAAGTACATGGTGTAAAGTCAAATAATTTGGAACTCAGGTCTGAGAGGCAGTTAAGATGTCACACAGTAAAGAATTGTGTCATCTCTAAGGCACCCGCTTTTGCTAGAAGTTCTCAAACAGAAACCTATCACACACCTTAGAATTAGAAATGATGACTGCAAAGGTTAGTAAGGTTGATGCTTTCTTCAGTTTTGTCTATGCCGCTATTTTCCCCCCAATATCCTAAATCTCAATTATTTCCAGCACCGCTAGAGGGAGCCCTTGACACATGCCAGCCCTTCCTCCATTTTTTTCAGCCTACTTTCAAACTTGTTTCCTCTCTTAATTCCTCCTTTATTAGAGTTCCAGGAGCATAGACGCGTGATATTCCTGAAGTTTCTCTGTTGCAGGAGTTTATGAGCTACGTGTTAACTGCTTGCAGCTCAGTCATAAACTGGCTGCTTTCAGTGTTTGCAACAGGTTGAACTATGATGTAGAAAGTGCAGCAGCTGTTGAATGGAATCTTGTTAATGAAATGGCAGCCCTTTCCTGCAAAGGCATTGTTGGTTTCTCTGCAGAGCAGCAGCTTTCTCTGCTGCTGAACTATGAAAATGGAGTTATTACTTATCTAATAATAAGTACCAAACAGACCCTTTGGTCATTTCACTTCAGGGCAACAAGCTGGCGGTGGGTGGTGTTAACCACAGGCTGCAGATAGAGCTTCCACGAGGGTGAAATAACCTGCCTAAAGCTTTCTATTAAAGAGCAGTGGAGCCCTAGCCAGTTCGCTCAATGGTTATAGCCTCAGCCCATGGACTGAAGGATCTCAAGTTCAATTTCAGTCAAGGATACATATCTCGTTTCTCATATCCATGTGTATCTTCCCCCTCCCTTCCATTCTCCTCTTAAAAAAAAAAAAAAAAGTCAATGGAAAAATACCCATTGCCAGGGGGCCATCCCCTGGGCCGCCCCAGGCTGCCTCTCGCCTTAGTGACTCCTGCCACAAACTCTTGGTACCTTGGCCCTGGTTCTCTTTGACTTGGTTCTCCCCACAGAGAGAACCTGCATTC